ATGTAAGATACTGTAAATTAAGACACTTAAAGATGAGATTTAACTGAAGGCAACTCCATTGGAAAAAAACACCTTTAAAAGAGATGAGCTTTGGCATTTCTAATAATCTTTAAAATTTATTTTAACTCTCTTTCTTTATTTGAGAGTAATACTGCATCCATAAAATGTGTTGTTGTCTCACTGTAATGTTTCAGAATATTTTAAAGAATTATGTGGAAATATGTATTTTTATCATGCTGTCACCTTATTAGGAAAAGTAAAGCAAATTAAGCTTAAATAATTCAAAGGTCCAGTGTGTAGGATTTAGGGGGATATATCATCAGAAATTGAATATAATATAATAAGAATGTTTTCTGTAGTGTGTAATCACCTGAAAATAAGAATCACTGTGTTTTGTTACTTTAGAATGAGACATTTATATCTACTATTTGGAATAATATGCTTGTTACACATTAGTAAGTGTAATAAAGGACCATTGTTTGGATTTAGGGACATTAGCAGTGATGTTTTCCGATTGCAACTAGCTGAAACTTCTATCATGTGCCAAGTGTGAACTTTGAATTCCTTCAGTGTTCATTGTTCAGGAGGTTTTTATCAGGAGCCAAATTATCTGCTGAGCTCTTTTCTTCTCCTAAACAAACACACCAGCTGATTTAAACCAGTAAAAATGCAGAAAAAAGATGTTTCATGTTACAAATCTGTGTTTTTACCATGCTGCTCAGCTTGTCTTGGAGAGGCAAACTACGGTGGCTGATGAGAAAAAGCGAATGACTATCTAGAGTCAGTGTTTGGTTTGACCGTTCTGGGCTACTGTAGAAACATGGCGCTGCAACATGGTGATCTCTGTAGACGAGGACCTGCTCCCTATGTAGATATAAACAGCTCATTCTGAGGGAACAAGAACACGAGGATTCTGATTTTCAGCTGATTATACACTACAGAAAACATACTTATTATATTATATTTCATTTGTGCTGATTTATCCTCCTAAATCCTACACACTGGACCTTTAAGTTGGACTGTGCATTGTAATAGCATCACTAAAAGTGGCTTCCTTTATCATCTTCTCCTGTCTCTTCTTCTTTGTCTGAATCAAAGCTACAAAGTTCTAAAGTACAGGCACTGTACTGTGAAGCCATGGATTTCCATGTTATCATACTTTAGACTTGTACTTAGTGACCACACTATATTCATTTATCAGCTGTAGTTACTGATTACTTTGCAGTTTAAGATTTTAAATTTAAAATGTTTGATGAGTTGAAATGATCCAACAGTAATCATTAATCACATCCAATAATACACTGTTTGATAAAAGGCTTTAAAAGGGTTTATTCTGCATAATGAGTTCTTAAACTTGTGATACTAAAGGACATTTATTTTCTGATGACACTTGTGTTCATTTTTACTTCAGTCATTATGAAAGCAAGACTTGTGTTTGTAATGTTGTATTTTCCCAGTGTGATAATGCTACTTTTGCTTCAGTAAAGGTTTGAATACTGTTTCTGTTCCAGTTCTTGGTGTATTTCCAGGTCAAAACACAAGAGACCTCCCGTGCAGTCTGATGCCTCTAACCAAGATAGAGGTTAACACTTTATAATAAGTACACACTATTAAGCATTAGTTAAGCATTAATAAACACTGAATTCATCATTTATAAAGCATGTTTCTGACATGAATACTCATTAGTATGTAGTTTATAAACACAGTCATAAATGTTTTACTCTTCATTAATAAGCTCATCTGTAACGTGCTTAATTTTCATACTTTATAAATGATGGATTCAGCATTTCTGAATTAAGTATTACATCACTTACAAACCAGTTATTTAGGAATTGTCAGTAGCTTGTAAGATCATTTAGAAAGTGTATGTAAAATGATTAATAAACTATTTACATGTCCATTTATGCATGCACTTACACATGCACATTCAGACATGTACTGATGGTTAGTGAATGTGTTAGTAGATGTTTTATTAAAAACTCACAAATTTCTTTTCCAATAGAGGTCCTATAAACAGTTATTAATACAGGAACTCATTAATTCAGGTCGTTAGGAAGCACTTACTACTCGTTAATTAAGTATTTTGTGTGAGCTCATCTAAAGTGAGCACTATCTATGCCTTATAAAGCATTTACAGATGAGATGTAAAGGCTGGGGATGCCTCAAGACTCACTGAAGTCTCAGTTATCTTAACAGACAAAGGAAAGACACAACACAAAGGGATATAGAACATATTGCATTAATATTTATTGCAACTTCTCAACATATTGTAACTGTACAACTGAACTGTTGATTTAAAAAGACGTACAAGCGTAAACATGGCTGAATAAAAAGTCGCCAACACCAACAGTGGATCACAGAAGTTTCAAGTGCTACAAATCAAATCCATATGTAAAATATAAAATGTTTCAATATCAAAAAATAAAGTCAGAAAATATGTCAGTGTCATAATTCAACATACATTTGAAATCCTATCTCAAAGAAAAGTCTCAAAATTATTTGAGACAGACTCAACACATGATAAAATAATACAGGAAATGTCATTTCATGACGCTACAAAAACACAGTACACTGATTCCTTTGAATTTGTCTCAGCCATCTCCCACAGAAAGACAAATTCCTGCCAACAATGGTTAGTGTCTGCATATGACTACTTGTAGTTTCTGGAAATGTCAAATGTACCATCACGGTGTTTCTTTGCGAGCCATTCATTCCACTCAATCACTGAAAGGTGGTCAGAAAGCAAAGTGTCAGTGTGATTTCCCCTGAGCCTCCAGATCTGCTCCTTGTAGGATCTCCAGGCCCTCTCAAGATGCTGGGTATGGGCACCAGTTTGGGGATCTACATACCACCTGCTGTGGTTGACAGTGTGATGGTTGTACCCTAGTGCAGAGAGTACGCGATAGGCACGCCACCTGTAATGAACTGCATCCAGTTACTGAGGGAGACCTTTGAATGACTGAAGATTGGCTTGTGCCTGACACATATTTGTTTTTCTGTGTGCTGCTTGGCGACAGGTCCTATTTAAAAAGAACAGTAACATAAAATACTGTTTATTTAGGAAAGGGCTTCATGCAATACTATATGCTACAACACTATCTCTCACACACACACACACACACACACACACAGAGGTTTGGGTAGTAATGGTGTATAGTGGCTTCCTATGTCACTATCTGCGCACACTAGTGTGAAGGGCTTGTACGGTGCCAGTGTAGGCCCACAGGTGCTGGTGTCAGTGCACTAACACAGCAAACATGTCCAAACATTTGCTCTTCTTTGTGCTGATTTATTATGTACATCCAAGGCAAAGTATAGACTGTTTTACCCAATAATAACACGTTTCAATAATGACATACAAGGATAATCTGACCTGTGGCGTTACAGTCATGGCACGGTCAAAAACCGTATGGCTTCCCCAGCGTGCGCACCTGCGCTGATTAACCCACCTGACTATATAGACAGCAAACCACAAGCCTGAACAGATACTGCCACCTACTGGCACAAATGTGCACAACACCCACAAGCAAACAGAAA